TGATAGCGTGCGCAAAGCGCGACGCTCGTGCTCATCGAGCCTAGGATGTACATCCCCCCATGCCGCGGACGCACTGTCCGACATTGCACCGCGTGCGGGAGACGAAGTTGAGTTCTGCCCGTGTTCGCTGTCAGAACCAGCGAGACTTGGTGACTTTAGTGTCGTTGACACAGGGCTCATTGAGAACGGAAGTCGTTTTATTCCAACGAACCAAGTTGCAGTGTCTAGCGGACACGCGAGCCTAATTGAGGCAATAATCGATTGGAACTGTGAATGTTCTCAATCTTAATGGGGGAGAGTCTAACGGGATTACACGTACCCTGGTAACAGGGGTGTGTGTCACACGAGATGGGCATGGTGTGACTGCACCCAAACACGAATACGGTATGTGGCTAGGTAGTCAGTAGTCATGCATGTATTTAGATGTTACCATATAAATTTAGGAAAATCTATACATTTGAAATTAGGCGGCTTTGTCGCATATAAAAAAATAAAAATCAGTTTTAAATTTTCAAGCGGAAAAGTAATTAGCTTTGAATTAAGGCAATATTTTTCTTGGAGTAAGCGAATTGCGATCTGCTAACTCGTACTTGTTCCTAGTATAGAACGAATGGTCGATGACCTAAATTACGCTTCCTCTAAGCGCAACGCTACGGCAGTCCCGCTGCACATTGCGCTTACGTTTATCAACAATTTGATGTTGCAGATAACAATTGTTTACACGATGGTAAAACGAGTCTTTCAAGATCAAGTCAATTAATGATAGCAGTAGTGGGCACCACCACTTATGACAGATGTGACGTTAAACGTACGTAATCGTTGTAATCGGCGCTCAAAAATTACAAGCTATCAGATACTTCTCACACCCAAGCGAGCTCATAGTCAACTCCGACAGGATAACAACATCCACTTAAGAAAAAACAGATAAATGTGAGCAACTTTGTAGGTTCGTCGATTTCGATTTATCAGATGATAAAGCCCTTAAACGATCAGCGCAGAAAACAAAACGCTATTCGTTGTGTACACAGACTCGTCAGATCAAAGCTTTCTTTGTGTATGGTGCACTGCAATCCCTTTGCCAAGACTCTCGCATATCGCTCGCATTGAAATATGAGTGAGATGTGTATCTCGTTTGCCAAAGATATTGGCGACACAGAAAGAATTTAATCCTGAACACAACGCCGATTTTTTTTGCTTCACCATCAAATTAAACATTTCTAAAATGAATGCTATAAAATGCATATCTTGCCGCGACCATCATTCTGTAGCAAATTGAAGCGGCGCAATAGCTGCAAAGACCGCATTCTAGCGTCTCAAATATGATGACTGTACTCGAGAAAGAAGCACGTGATCCTGTCGATGTACTGCGTCTCAAGCTTAAGGATTCGACGTCTACGTCACTACTTAACTCGCAGCTGGTACTCACTGCTTTCTTTTTATTTCAATTAGCTACTCATGTCAAGGATACGAGTTTCATTTACTAATACAACTTTGCAGCTACAAGAGATCAAAACTGACTATATTATCAAGCAAAATAGAACTACAGGACAACTTGTTGGATATGTGCAGGCACAAGTGGATGAGATTGAGCGAGCAAGCGCGTTGCTCGAGCTCGAGACGCCGGTGAAGCAAATTGTTACGAATTTGAGTGATTTAGGACAAACTTGTCTTCGAATGAATGAAGAGCTCGGCGAAAAGAAAGTGTCGTCTTCTGGCGTGAGTATTGCACGACGAAATCTTAAGGAATTAGAGTTTCAGATGGTCTTTTACGACCAATTGCCTGAGAGAGTACAAGAGCTCCACCATGCGTTAGATACCGGACGCTTGAGTTTTGTGGAAGGGTACACGAAGTGGCAAGAAATCGATGATTGGAGGCAAAAGATGCTGCATGAGGTGATGGTAGAATGATGGTATATATATATTAAACTGATGAGTGACCTTTTTGTAGTTAAGTGTTGCAGCAGTAGAAAAACGTGACGAGCTTGGGAACAGGTGTGCTAGTTTATGCAGCGTATGTTATGTAAGAAAAGCTTAACTTTTATTCTATTCATGGTTCCAGCAATGCTCAAGCGCGTATTATGACGTCAATGGCGTCGAGATTGAACGCGATTGAGAGTGTGCAGATCCGGATTAACGCGGAGGTCTGGGGCTGCATGCACCACTGCGTGGAGATCGCTCAATTTGGAAAACAACGTCTTATCGATGCGTTTCAAGTTCTCAATCTGATGGAAAGTCGACGTCAGCGCTTTGTCAAGGCGAAAAAGGAAGTGTATTTAGACAACCAACTAAACTCCATAAATCAGGCCAAAACGATTCGAGAACGATGCGAGATTGAAGTCATGACGTCGCTTGCTAAACGAATCGAAAATATATTTCATTGTGCTGAAAACGAAGCAAAAAAAAACAAGAAAGACGTATTTAGCTCAATATTTGAAGCTGCGACGCAATTGATGTTGGATCTGGAAATTGTGCAATCCGAAGTCGCACCGTGTTTTCCTACAGATATTGATATTATCCACTTGTTTACAAGCACATACAATGCGCAATTAGATAGTGTAATAACTCGTTTAACCGAACGAGCTGACGTAGGGATTGCTCAGCGACTTCAGATTGTTCAATGGATTGATTATTACAACTCGGAAATTATCAAATATAAGCATTCACGAGCGTCCGTTGTACTCGATCGAACTGCTCAAGAGCTTATGACAGCGTATCTAGAAGAGATTAAGGCTCAAATTCACAGTTGGATCACGAATATCTGGAAGCGAGAAGAAGAGTGTGTGGTGGGAACGCAAGGGGAGCTTCAGTCGACGCGTCCAAATGATATTGTGAACATTCTCAAGTCGCAGATTTCAATTGCGCAAGAATGGTTGAGCGGGCGACTAATTGGATGTGTTGTCACGACCTGCTTACAAGTTTTAATGGAAGAACTGAAGACACGATATGAAGCGATTGCAAGTAAACTCGAAATCGTGGATACGGAAATGCTGTGCTCGTTTATCAACGATGCAGAAATTTTACAGGTTTGAGACCAAAAAATGATGTTTTTTGCAGCGATACTGAAGTTTGGGGTGTTTGAAAGGCAAAGTGTCCTGATCTGGTCGAAGAAATCTCGTTTGCTGAAACGGATTCAGAGGAGAAAGAAGCGTTCGACACGTTTGTAGGTGATAGCCTGGACTCAACATCAACTGAAATTGTGGTCTTCGCCTCGAATGCTTGCGATCTCATTGTCAGCAAGATTTTTCACGAAGTCGAGCAGGTAAATAAATACCTCAAGTTCAAAGGCTCAGACTGACTCGCGTTTGCTCTCCTCCGTGTAGGACACTTTCAAGTTGTGGTGGTCAAAGAAATGGGATGAAGGCGCTCCAGTGGTTGAGTCTCTTCTCGCGACTCTCGATGACTACTATTCTGATCTAAAAAAGTGGATCTTTGGCTCGTTTTTCTTTTCAAAAGTCGTGCGCCAGTGCTTAAACCGGTGTGTCAAAGAATATGGCGCAAAATTTCTCCAGCGGACTGTTCCATTCTCCGATTTGGTCAAAAGTGCAAACTCTGTCGACAAGGACATGCATGTACGAAGCTGAAGCGTCCAAATGAGCTTTTGACTTCTAAGTCTTGTGAATTTTGTATTGTTTCATTTGGCAGAGTTTTGTAGACTTTTTTGATAAGTACAGTGCCGACCTCCGTCGAACAGGTATTCGAACAAGAGAGGATATTCAAAAGGAACTCACGCTGTTGCAAGTGATTAGCTGCACGTTACGACAAGAAGCTCCTCCTGACTGCACATTGCAGGAAACAGAGATGCTTCGTCGGCATGCTGTAAAGCTGATTCAGTCAACGTCGACTCAAGAACACAAGGTGAAGGAAAAACCAAGTAAGGACGGTAGCGTTAAAAAAAAGCGATTTGGGGCTATTGCAAAAGGTAAAAAGAGCAAGTCCAAAAAAGATCAGGCGGGGCTTGCTCCAACAAGTACTTCAGACACTTCGTTCACCGAAGATCATGATAGTTTTACCGTGCAAAAGCTTGATATGGCCGCTTTTTTAGGTAATTAAACTGATGTCTAACCGTTTATCATTTATTTTACTTTAAACCTCCCCTATCGAGTCTGCAGTTTGAGATCCAAGTGCAAATACAATTTTTTCTCGGTGAAAAGATATATGCGCTTACGTTTTGGATCCATTGGCTTTTGGTAGAGCTCGAGCATCGTGTGTCCGTTTCTCAGATTTGCCATTTCAAGTAGAGCCCAGCATCGGCAGCTCTTTTTGCGCTTTTTCGCTTTATAGTGAAAGAACTCAAAGACAACGGCAGCTCCGTCTACCGGTATGAAAAGCACACTATTACAACAATTCCACGTTATTGCACAGCGAGAAAACAACGTACAGTCTTCCATCTTTCGCACATTGGTAGCAAGCGAAATGTGGGTCGAAAACATCACATATTGAAGCTCAGTACAAGCTCCCACTCCAGTTTCGTGCGTCTCTTCCATCAACTTGCCGCTGTAGTCTACTATCGAGACAACAATCGTCGGGTTCATGTAAACATTGGCATCTTTTAGACCAATTTTGACGATCTGAATATCCAGATAAGTGGCTTTAAGCGATCGGAGCGCCGAAGCGTTTGCAGTTTCTGCCACAAAACTCTTCATATTTATTTCATTCCCGACCTTTTCGTCAGGTGTCGCTTGCTGTGTTGACTGATTCGATTGACTGATATGAATAGGGAGGATCTCTGGCTCATTCGACATCGCTCCATGAAGAGCTGCAAGTCAGCAAATACTCTAATCAGACAGTCAAGAATGTGAACAGCACAAGTTTGATTTTCACCGTGAAGAACATCTGCCATATCCTCCTTCGTCGGCCTTCGTTGTCCAATGGCAGAGCTCATACCCATGGCTCGCATTTCTAATGCCGCTATGACGTTTTCGATTATCTGCTGTGCTTTTAACAAAACATTTCGCATGAGCATCGAAAGACGAGCGTCATATCATCACTCTTGCCTTTTGTGCATCCGTGAAACGATGACAAGCTGGTAATGCTTTCGTCATGCGACTCGCAAGTCTGATGCATATACCATTTCTTTGATATAAGCAGAAAAGCAATTGCGTTTGAGACGACAACTGACCTCTCGTAAGCTTCCACTCCAACCAGCTCCTCGCCTCCCATATCCAGCTCAATCGCTTGCTGTAAGCTCCTACACCATGCTGCATGTAGCTTTACGATATGTTCCATGATTTTTCGGTCACCTTTTCAACAGGAAAACTGCTCTTCTGTGTCATTTTTAGACCGACATCCCCTCATTTCTAACGCCCCTTCCTTATGTTCAATGAAGGTCTGGAACCACGCGTCGAGCAAGTTGAACATGCAAACGCATCCATCGGACGTGACTTAATTGTGTGCGTAGCTTTTTTTCCGGCAATACATGTAGTAAAAAGTCCACGAGGTACGTTGCGCCGTCAAGTCCGAACGCCACTTCGAGATACTGCATAAAATGACGAGCCGAAGTAATACCTTTACCGAAATCTCGCGCATGGCGCTGAAAACGGGAAAATAGACTTGGATTATGGTGGCAATCGTCCCACACAGCATCTAAAATGGCTGAATTGAGTGACTCGGCGATACTACAATCAAATTCCCACACTGGAGCATTAGAAATGGTACGTTCAATCTCGACCATAAACTGACGGTCCATTTCGTCGAGACCTTGCCACAAGCCATTTCGTGATCGCGCTGATCTAGTTGTCGCTGCAATCTGCCAAGGTGATGCAGGATCAGATCGATTCGAATCTCGTTCTGCCAATAAATAAAATCCATCGACACAAGCTAGCGTTGGAAGGATGTATCCGAACGTCATATGAATTCGCTTTCCTGGTCGAATTGCCCGCAAACCGGCTAGTGGTAAAATTTGATGTTCAGACCCTTCATGATCATTTGTCACGAGTAATATGGACAGATTAAGTATCGTAGCAACCACGACGAGCTCGATAGCACCCACACGCGATTGTCGTTGGGACTTCAAGTCATGTAATCGTCTTTTTAAATCTACCGTTGTCATGAGGAAGTGATTTGCGAGGATATGAGCATGTAACAATCCATAATGCACTAGTGTCTGACGCAAATAATGTACCCCAACAGATAATTGCTCGTGACACGTAGCACCTGATTCGAATACGTCTGGATCATTGGCGATTGGAGAAAGTGATCGTCCAGAACCTGTGAATGCATCGTATAGTCGTTTATCCAAATCGTTGAGCTGTTGCAGCTTGTATAAGACACAATATAACGCTGTATACGCGCCATTGGGTGGTGCGTATACTTGTTTCCAGCCACGAAGCTGCAACATTCGCAAAAGTTGCGTATACACGACACGAAAAGGAGCCACACGACATGCACATTCGTACTTGACACACATGATTAAATTTCGCGATTTGTCATCGATGAGATTGGCCTCAAGTTCGTCCAGCTTAACGTTGTGAACGTGGTGCTCTATTCTCGACCGTCTCCGCGATCGAGGTCTCCAGTTCCGTTCGTTTTCGTCCATTGGGCGTACGACACTGTCGTCCACTGTATTATTCAAGCCATTTCTTGTGTCATTTCCATCTAAATACAAGTCCCAATTTCGAACCGGGTTACGCACCACTGTAACTTCTGCCGCGAGTAACCCTGCATCAAAGTTGCAAAAACAACGCAATACTAGTGGTGCACGTGGGTCCAAGAACCTTGTGAGTCTCAAGTGTGGACTACGTACAAGGCACTCGAGGTACAAATTTAGTTCTGCGCAGCGTTTAGCCAAGAACTTTGCACTGCGATGACGATGTAGCCATGTGCGTCGACGGTGTGGTGGAGGTCGTGCCACTGAATGCATATCTTGTGGAAATGCACGACGCAATTGTGTGTCAAGCCCTTGAAATTCGTCAAATGTACGAAATACTCGCCACGACGCTTGTAATTGAGTGCCACCATGTTGTTCTGTGCAAAATACAATGGCTGTCGAGAGGAGAAATTCGGGCTGTGGCATCAAAGAACGATCGAATTGAGACCCAGCAACATGCACACGCACTTGCAAGATTTCACGAATTGTGTGGACTGCAACTCTCATTGGCAACTGAGTACCACATACCACTCACTGGAAGGACACGGCGCAAGAGGTGCCGAGCAGATGGAAATCAGATGGACTGTCCCCTTGCATTTTATTTGGTCTTACAAGAACATGATTTCATACAGGTAGCTTCACATACAAAAAACGTGTTGTTTGCTGATATACGTGAATTTAATTATAGAGTTGTACTGGTTACATTGCCTCTGCCGCTATTAATTTGGTTGTCAAGTTCACGATCCGAAGAGATTCATAACCATATGTAGAATTGTCAACTGGATTGCATTGCACAAGCGAGGCAAATAATACATAGAGAAAATTGAGGAATTTATTAACTAAAAAGAACGTTTATTCTTTTTGAGTAAAGCAAAATTTGGGTAATCTCATACACCCAATAATACTGGCGTCAAATGCCGAGTCTGTCGGCGAGCGAGACGGAGTTTCTGGTGAGATTGTTCACGATGTCTGACGATCAAAAGTATGTGTATGTACTTAATAATACGTGCATTTCTTTTATCCAGGCAGAACAGGAACTGATAATGATCATGCCACATTTCCACCTTCGCGACCATAACGGCATGCTCAACTTTATCTGTGTACGTGACCCATAATTGCAAAATCGACAATAGAATTTTACAAACAAGTCATTTTTAGGGGAATTTTGGACCTTTTCAACCGGGAATGACCATGCATGTGCCACTGTGGCTTGCCATAATGCTTAAGCAAGTTCACAAGTGTCGAATTTTGGCACCATCATGGCTCTCAGTTGGTAAAATATGTTTTAATTGGGTAATTCTAATTCAAAATGACCCATTCTCAAGTTTATCATTGTAGATTATTTGAGTGCACAATTGGAGCGAGAGAAAACAAGTGAAGTGTTTGAAGAGTTGCCATTTCATTATCTCGAAATTGCGTCACTTTTACTTCAAAAGTATGAGCGATAATTCGAAGATTGAACAACAAATTGCTCACTTTGTACTCATTTTGAAAATTTTAGTGCACCAGAAGATCTCGAACAAAGTGAGCACTTGCGTATACTATTGGAAGATTTACAAAATGTCCGACAAGATAAAATTCGCAATGGTCTTGCCAAAATTGCCCTCGATGTTCAAAATGGGGGTACAGCGCTTGCTATTCAAATGAACAATATCTCTGCACTTGAGATTACATCTGTGCGCGAGTTTATGCTTGGGGTACATGTTGCAATAACAATTCGACTGATTTGCAAGGTTCTAATCATTTGGGTACATTGTATTGTAGTCTCTGAATCAATTTTACCAATTATCGCAACTTACGGCAGGATCAGGTGCAGTCAAAAGTTGATACTATTTGATTTCAAGGTTTACTAAGTACGTGTCCTGTTTAGGTGACAACGAGTCCCAATTGCAATCTCAATCTCAATCTCAGGAACAATCTGTTTCTTCGTCAGGTACATGCGGTAGCTTAAAAAAATCTTATTATATTCTTATGTGTTTGTGATATCTGTGCTAGCGGAAGGTCAAGCAGCTCGTCGACTTCTTCGACGACATCGTGGGTAATTTGTACGCACGTACATGATAAAGTTCTGTGGAAATGTCAATATTTTATTGCAATAAGAGTATTTTACCAATATGGATATAGGGATGACCAAGTTTTGTCGTACACTATTTGTACGATGAAACGTTCGGTTAGTTCAATTCAAATTTGCACGCACAAATATCTAGATTCTATGATTTGAATCCTTTTATTAATCGACGACAACTTTCCCTTGAGTTGCTCCAAACGAAACTACATCACAATATACTTTGCACTTTGCGTACAGGAACTAAACTGTCCGTACAACAGATAAACGCTCTGTCAATTCCAATCATCGTTTAATGCCCATTTCTAAGTGTTTGATCTTCTGCTTTCCTCCCTCTCTTTTTCATACGCTTCGATGTCGTCTCTTTTGTCTCCAACATTGGAAAAGCTGCCATCTCTCGCTGTGTCGCTTTCTGCAAGTGCGAAAATGGAGTTGGGACTGCCACTGGATTCACCATCACCACGTCTGGATTCTTTAATCGAAGTGCCTCTTCTTCTGCACGTTCTCGTTCTCGTTTATCTTCTTCTGCTGCTGCCACGCAACATACACTACATAGCACAGCACATACAAAACATCCGCAAACATCTTCAGCTTCACTCATAAGATCACGAAAAGTGTTTGTGTAATGGTAAGTTAGAGAATAACATTCCAACAATTTCAATGCTCTTACATTCTAAGAGCCAAGTACGATCGTGTAGAGGTCAGAAGATTGAAACGCTTCCATGATGTAGTTTAAAATTGCCAGTAGATCAACTCTCTGAACTTCTTTACGTCTTTTCAAGATTCGTACTTACGTTAGTTTTTGTTTTTTATTAAATTTTACATTTTTTATTATGGCGGATGGTAATCTATGGCGTGACCGAAATAAAGTGTTTGTTGCAGGTTTGCCACCACATGTGGACGACAATGCACTGTACGACCGATTCAAGTCATTTGGTCCAATGCATCAAACTAAAGTAGTGTACGACCAAACGACAGGTCGTTCACGTGGGTTCGGTTTTCTTACATTTAGTGACTACACTAACGCTCTCGATGCTGTGGACCAAATGAACCAAACAAAATGGGACCATCGGATTTTAAATGTGCGATTTTTGCAACCAAAAACACCAATGCAAAATGAGTCAATGCCCATTTCGAAACCACAAAAAGTCATTGGTCCTCGCCCTGAAAATTGTACGACCATTTATGTTGGGAATTTGGCTTATGATATTACAGAGGAAGTGGTACGTAAAGTATTTGACAATTGTGGCAGTATTCGTGCCATTCGATTTGCCGAACATATTCAAACAAAAGAATTTCGAGGCTTTGCGTATGTCCAATTTCATGAAGAAGCAGCATGTGAAGCAGCTATGCAATTGGATGGGATGATTGTCATGGGACGACCGATGAATGTTGACTATGGAGTTCGAGATGAAGGGTACACTCAAGCACGCGAAGAGTTGCAAAAAAAATTGAAAAAAGGAATTTGCCATAAATTTCAATCGGGAAAGTGTACTCGTGGCGACGCGTGTAAATTTGCACATGTCATGCAAGATCAAGATGCAGAAGAGTTGGTACAAGTTAAACAATCACAAGTCGAACATATTGTTTCATCAGAGGCAAACGATGCCCCGATTTGCATTAATTTTCAAAAGGGAAAATGCAAACGTGGGCAAACATGCAAATTTCAGCATTTGCAAGAATCTGCAAAGGTTGAAAAAGTTGTGGTTGACGAGACAAATCCAACGTGTGGGGAGACTGAGGTACCAGTGTGCCAGAATTACCAGAAAGGCAAGTGTAAACGTGGTCAATCGTGCCGCTTTCGCCATGTTGCTGCAATTATAGAGCAGATACAAAAAGTCGAAGATCCGGTGCGTGTTGCATTGCCAGTTGCTGCAGTTGCTCAAGTGGCAATTTGCAGAAATTTTCAGAAAGGAAGTTGCTTGCGTGGTACATCGTGTCGATTTGCACACACACAATTAGTAGAAGCAACTTTGGAAACAGCAGTGGAGGAAGTGAGTGAATACCAAAAGCGTTTTCAAAGTGTATGCTACAATTGGCAACGTAGTAAATCGTGTGACCGAGGCGAGAAGTGTCCATTTCAACACGATGGGGCTATTCGGTTGTTTGATGAAGACGGGACGACTGCAGAAGAAAAGACGGAAAAAGGTAAAGAGAGTAAGAAACGATTGCTTGCTGATGACGTGAAGATTGAGAAGAAGCAAAAGAAACGCAAAAAGGACAAGAAAGAGAGGAAACACGCAAAGAGTGACTAGATTTTTTAGTTTTAAGAATTAAGAAAAGAGAGAACTCGGAGGTTGCAAGTTTAATGTATTGAAAATGCAGCAAATCTAAAACATACAAATATTCTAGTCTAAAATTCTACAAAAATTTAAATGTAGTGTATCCATCTTTTACGCAGTCGTAATCCACTCATGCTCGAGTACTTGCGTTGCACTAATACGTTGCTCTGGATCCACTGTTAACATTCGACGAATGAGATCTTGTGCACAGTCCGAGATACAAGCCCATCTCGAAGACGCACAGTCAAAATCTCCATTGAAAATTCGTTCTTGTAATTCTTCATCTGTTGCGTCGTTGTTTGGGTCAAAGGGATGTGTACCACACAACACAATGTACAACACAACACCAAGTGCCCATACATCCATGGCACAGCCCGATGTTCGATGTTGCATAACTTCTGGCGACGCATACGCAGTTGTACATACATCAAGTTGAGGTCGACTATTGTCATTAAGTCGAAAAGACTGTCCAAAATCAATCAGTCGCAAACCCGTTTCGTTGTCACGTGAGAGTAAAATATTCTCGGGCTTTAAATCCGCGTGAACCACTTTTCGAGAGTGAAGATACTCTAAAGTACTGGCCAATTCACGTACCAAATCCTTTGCACGGTCTTCTTCAAACACACCATGTTGTACTAAATCGTCGTACAATTCACCACCTGTGACTAATTCCGTCACGAGTACATACGCATCCGATGTCTCAAATGCTTCACGTAATGCCAAGACATTGTGTGTTCCTCCTACTTGTTGTAGAATTGCAACTTCCTGAAGAAAATTTTCACGAGTTGTACGTTGTTTTGACACGCGCTTGATAGCTACGCGTGCATTTGAGCCACGATGGCGACCAACGTGGACAAGACCAAAACCACCTTCACCAATGACGCCCTCAAGAACGTACTCTTGTTGGAGATGTCTACGTGTGACCAGCCATGAATCCATACGGTTATGACCACGCTGTTGCTTCCGCACACTCGTGGCTGTGTCTGGTATTAAAAGTGCACAGCGAACGTCACCTCCCATGGTTCTATGAGCGTCTTGACGAGCTGGTGGTTGTAACGAGACACTGTAGGCTACCGCAGCGCATAATGCGGCAGCTCCAGCCATCCGACGCGGAAAGTAAGTGGTAAAACTACCATAAATCATACTGAAGCGAAGTCGAAAGTAGTGAAAAAGGAAAATGAGGTTGGACAATCGCCAGCCAATCTCTGTGACGTTTCGTGGTCTGATTTTTGAATCTGTACAGTCCGACAATTGAACGACTGGGTCGATGAGGACGAGGTTTTTCTTTGCGAGGAAAGAATTAGAATTTAGATATTTAGCACATGTTTTCTAGAAGCCTATTATAAAGAGAATGAAGTAGAATTTCAGACAGAAGCCACTTTATTTAATGGGTAGCATTTCTAGCACTACGTTTGATGTTGTGCGACATACGTACCGACTATATGCTGAGATATATACAGATACCTGGCACCTACTTTAATCGTTATATGGCACCATAACTTGTGATAAATGCGAATAATTTAGTCGAGAGCGCTGCCTTCATCATGAAATTTCAATCTTGAAGTTTGAAGTTTTACATTCCTAGAGATAAACGAGTCTTGACCCGCAGCATCAATGTGTAAAAATACTTAGAAACTGTGAGCCGCAACCGTGAGAAAATCGTTCGTGTCCTCCTCACATTATGGCATGTCTTGGGTCTAATGATTAGGCTACAGCAACCTTCAGATGGATTTTTATGGATTATTAAGCTATAACTGCTTTCTAATATTTGATTCTAGAAAGTGCAGCATCTATAGAGTCAGTGCACCGACTAATCTTTTTGCAGTGCTGAATCTTGATCTACAAGCGTAATCCTCAGCGGATTCACATACTCATGATAAATGATTTTTTTTGGAAAGTTTCACTGCAATGCTGACCGGGTGGCATGATTACCAAACATGAACTGCTCTCTAAAAAATATCTGTCTGCTTCTAATATTTATGTTCTTGCCTTACGTGCGGGAAGTGAATAATATTTATTTGCTAGGACTCTGTCATAAACGAATCTGGCCAAATAGAATCGAGACCGCCAGATATATTCATTAGCCGGGCAATCAAAGTAGTTGGATTCTTTTTGAAACAGAAAGTTTTCCTCCTCGTCTTTTGTATGGAAAATCCCCCAATCTGGCGCTTGAAATCCCCAAAACTTTCTTCCTCCGAATGCAAGTTTTCCTTTAAATTTGTTTTTGTATGATCACATTGTTGGACCTCTCATTGTTAAGCTCTTTGGCAATTTTCACGACTAAAGCTTCATTCTTTGTTCATTGCATTATCTGCTCCATGCACCTAAACATATTGACTGAATGTCTCCGAATTGCGCCTATGGTAGTGACCAAATTCCTAGATTTCACAAGACCAAAACGAAGCAACTTCCTCTTTCTTGTCTTCACGTATTGATGAAAGACAATAAGACTGATCATGAACCACGACGTGTCAAGTGATTAAAGCTGAAGCCTTCAAGCTTTTATCAGGCTACAAAGATCAGTACCATTACAAAGAGCAGTAGCAAGATATAATCTCAAAGTAAAAACACATGGAAAATTTTGCTGCTGCAGACGTTTGCGTCGGGCACGTGACCTCAAGGAAATCATGTAGCGTTTATGTCGTAGATATTGACTTTAATTGGAAAGATCCTTGAACTGCTTTCAGTGAGTAATCTGGCAGGCGATGCCACGGTGTTGACTGTGTTGTTTCTTGAGATCCTCACGATTACTGCTCATTCTTAAGAACAAGCTGATACTAAATAAGGTTGCATTCGATAGACGAGCAATTAGGATTATGCGAAAAAATGCTTTCAAAGTGACGTTTTCGTTCAAACTAAATAGCACATATCGATATACACCTCATGTGACTTTCTTGAAATGCGCACAAGAACTTTTACACTCCAACAATGACTCCAATGAAGGTACATGTGCATATTTTAGACTTGTTATTGAGACACACTGTTTGCGACTAAATTCGCAATTATTGAGAGTGTGAGACTAACAATAAAATCACCTCAGCAAAAAATATACTCTTTATTATCTCACCCAAAATTTGGCAAGAAACCTCGCGGAAAAGTGCTTTCATTGCACAAAGTCTCCATAATTCAAACATCACTGCACGAGTATATGCTACTCTACCGGCTAGGCATTACCACACACGCCGTGATGGCGTTGTGTCGCTCTGCTGTAATCGCATTTGAAAGCGATAATCAAACGCATTTTGCCTTTTTTTTACGTTGTGCATTATACCCAAATGATCAATTTTTTGCGTCAAGTACTTATCGTGTCGTTTTCTGTCGCACCAAACCACAAATGCAGTCAAAAACTCCAGTTGAACTAAGAAAAGCGTCAGTTGAACACCTAGAGCAGGTCTTCGTACTGAAATTTTTCATGAACAGACACTGCAGAAATTATGGAAACTGGTCAAGATGCATTAACTATCTCGGGTCCTTTACAGATATCTAGCGCTCAACTCAATGCAGTCGAACTGACTGATTCAACGCAGAAGTTTACGGCAAAAGCTTACGAGCGTGTCCTTCCGCAAAGCGAAGTTCATTGTATTGAGAGAACGTCACAAAAGCTACGATCCCTTGACAAGATCATCCATATATGGGTACGAGATGCTCGAGCGTTTCGACATGGGATCGAGAGCGCAATGTAGTGTAATGCTTGACTGGGGGTTTGATTAATAGTTTCTCACGCTTTGTATCAAAGTCCGTACTTCTCGCTGCGAATAGCAGACTCCATTCTTGTTTGGGAACTTCGGGTTTGTTGAAAAATCATTCAAAACCATCCAAAGGTCTGAGTTCACGTCTGTTTCCTTGACAGAGTCTTGTGCAAGAACACTTTACGGCTCTTTCAACATATCGCAAAGAAGTGGACGGACCCTTGACCCTCTGTTTTAATGACCAAATTTTAAACGACAAAGAAAGCTTTTTGGCGTATCTTCAAAGCAGCACTACGCTTGAACATGCAAACCTGACAAACTCAAAAAGCCATCAACAGCTTTCGTGGCCTAAACCATTTGCTGGTGACGTTTTGTGAAATTTGTAATCACCGTAGCGCACTTTTACTTACTTGTTATCACGTAGGGATTTTATGGGTGGTACCGTGGCGACCAGCTCGAAAACAGCCATCAGGCTACGAAAATATGTCATACAGTGGAAAAAGCGGTCAAAATTAATCGGCGACGTTTGCAAGGGTTGATTGAGCTACATTTCAATGAAATGATTGTATTGAACCAAAAACTTCAAAACCACTTCCTCATTCTAGCAATCCCCGCGTTTCTTCGTCACTACTCGTGTCATCAATATTCTGACTCGTCTCGTCAATATTCTTGACTTCACATTTTTGTCTTCTCTCTCTTCTGCAACAGCAGAAAGAATCGTACCAGGTCGTGTTTCTTTCTTTAATGTAAGTCGGTCCACCTCCTAAGAATCGATTCAAACACGGAATTAAAAATTCACACCGGCACATGCATCTATAAGCCCAGCTTTCGTGCTCTTTTTTTCGTGTATTCAAATCGTGCAATCCATTCTCGTTGCTTTCAATGTTCTCAATCATCTCTGTCACTAACGATCGTGCTTTTAAGCTGGGGACATGCAGCATCTCTCGTACGTCGTCAATAAAGACAGGAGTCGCATAAATGTCAAGCTTCCAGCGAACAATGGGCTTGGTTTCATCTGTGCCATAAAGTTCCGCATAGAGTGCATAGACCTGTGGATTTACTCCCCGATAATCTTTGGTCGGTAATAGATTGTCCCGCAAGCAATATTCTTCGTAATCAAAGAGTGTTTCATTTCTTAAAGGTCCTGGTCTCTCCGTCGCGTCAATGTCTTTCTCGTCACTTAGTACATAACTCATCCAAGCGTCAAGCCATTTCGTCTCAATAAGAAACCAAGCATCATTGCGACGAAGATCTTTTGAGTCATATGTCAATATCAACTCTCGTTCCATCAACCGACGTGAGAATGCATGCGATCTAGGGGCAATACCGCATTCGAGGTCACAAGCAGAGATTGCATCAGATTCGAGCATTTTTGCCAATCAAAAGGTTCAATTTGGGATATTTTATAACCATTTATTACATGTTAAAGAAAATCTCTGCTACAACTTTCGCTTACTTTCCTCAGCTAAAAATTCGTTAATCACGTCTACATGATCAAACGGGGTGTAACGCAAGCATTTTCCCAGCGCACGACTGTCATAATAAGTTCAAGCATCCAATGAGCGGCAAAATTCATGACACTTGCACTAATTGAGCCACCGAATGAAATTTCACAGCCTGTAAGCTTTCCATCTGCATCCGGTACACGTGAGAGGGTCGTCCAATGGAATAAATCAATCCAGGCCTCATTTTCTCCGAGTGCATCTTGAATTCCAGGCGCTGGAATCGTACGGAAACATACTGTATAACCATTTAGAGTCTCGACGCGAAAGAGCAAATAGACTGTATGAAAACTGCGGTCCATGGTCCGATACTTTGTATGGCGTCGCACAACGAGCGCATCGCGATTAACAACTTGCAAAATCTCAAGATTAAGCTCAACTTTGGATGAAAAGATCACACGTCGCATGAATTCAAGATCTGAAAACGTATGCCACGATTCGTGCATCAGACGCTCGCAACTTTCATTTGCAAAAGTTTTACGAAAGCAAAAGACCATTTTTGATTCGTCATCATCAAGACGCCGATGGTCACTCCATCCAAAGAGTGAAGAGCCTGTGGTTACAAAGTCTTGGCTAGCTTGAAATCGTAGGATAACGTCATACGCTTCACGCATGACTGCAAAACACGTCTTTGGTGCCAATGGAACAAAAGTCGCATGGTACACAGTAGTTATTCTTGGATCGGGTTTTGTATCTGCAAATTCAGTTGCCAAAGCCTGGCATGTATCACGAAACAAGTGTTGTACATGTAAAATTTGATGCAACTTGTGCTGTTCTTTGCGTAATGTGGCGGCTTCTGACGAAAGGCGCATGAATTTGTCGCGCAACTGTTGCACTTGTGTTGGAGTCAACAAAACGCCACGTTCGTTGCTGCTTGTATTCATTCTGAGCCCCGTGGTTTCACTTGTTACACGAGATGTAAGACGCAAATACTCGCGTTCAAGCACCTTGACTTCATCTCGCATGCTTTTAATTGCTCCCTAATACGCTTGTCCAATTACGTTTGGCTTTTTATACCCTTCACTATTCATCACGCACGAACCTGTCGTCGTTGCCGCGACTTTTTTTCAATCCCAGACCGTCGAGTACGCTGTTCAAAATAAGCAACATCCTTAAACGCCTTCCTATTCCCATTTTTATTTTCGACCAGTTCCACGTGTGGCAGTGTAGCAACAAATTTCATGACACTAATAACGTCCACCGAAATATGTTGCACGAGATGAGACGACATCGAGTCAAGAGGGTCACATTGAACCAAGAGGACTACAGTACCTAATGTAGACGATTCTTCAGAGTTTGCGATCACTTGACTTGTTGTCGGCTTCGGAATTGCGTCATCAGAAGCTGGAGAAAATCTCAAGATTTAAGCAGCTGCGACAGATACCACTGAATGAATGTGCCTCAATTTTATCGTCAATCATCAGTAGATTTTTTTCTTTGAAATTAGCGCGTTTGACATAAAAAAGCGCCTCATTGGTCACAAACACTATGAAGTCACTGCTGACCGACCTCTTCGCTGATGTTAGCAGATTCCACTGAGTTGTTAAACGAGCTCGCAGCTCATTGTATTGAATATGTCGATATTACAACGTTTCAATTCAACGATTCTGAGTCTTGGAGTGTATTTGCAAGCATTAAGACTTTGTCCTTCCAAAGCTCGAAACCGTCATTTGCGTTATTGCAGGATTACTGAGATTAACTTTCTACCTACTGTGGCTAACAAAACCCACTTAAGGAACAGATCGTCAAGAAGGTTAAACGAATCTTGTTTTATTACTTTGAGCTTGTGGACCACCTTTATTTGTTGCAATAGCAAGCTAAACGTTCCGTCGTTATTAGACATTTGACTTCTCAGACATTGGACATGACTCAAATGAACTCGCTGAATATTAAACTCGGTATATTAAGACGGTCTGTTATACACCCATTACATCAAACAGGATCTATGTGGTGCATACCACCTCCGAAGTGCTTGGCAGATCCCACATGCACGTTTGACGTCATTGGATGATGTCACAAATGTCCTCTGTACTAATCAGTGCAGAATGTTCTTTATAGGTACGAATCAAAACGGAATGATTGCCAGTCATGCCAGTAATAATCAGATACAGAAGTGGTGATAAACACGTATCAATCGAGTAAAGATTGTTGACATTTATGTACTAGTCAGTACGGAATGATGGTTTCTACTCAGGAATCAACAGTGTTGATGAGACGGAGTGAGCCACGGGACCTTTCCATCAAATTTCTAAGTTCAAATTTTTTAAGAATCCCCTGGGTCCAACCTCAGTGTACCCAAAGTTTCACGTAGTAAGCTCAAAGTTTTTACTTCTGCACCAGGAGATATTGTGGTACTAATCATGTAGCCTTAAGAGCAATTATCTCTTACAGTCGCAATTTCCACCGCATTCCTATCAAGCCGTCTTCATAAGCACGAGCGTGCGTGCCGTGTTTGGGGCTGTCTCGGATAGCATCATACAGTATCGGTGTACGGTACACCACGTCTTGTGTTGTTGTGTGTAGTGCCAACCTCAATATCGAAGTAACATGATATAAGCGTGGTTCACCGAACGTCTATATAATTCCCTACTCTTTCTTAAGCATGTTGCTATGTAGCAAACCGCTACAGTTGGTAGCATTTGTAGTCATCCTCACGTCTACGCGGGTAGAGGCACTTCTTAAGTCTTCAGGGATTCAAAAGATCGAACGATTCCACTCATCCGATGTTTGATCGGTATTAGTATGTTGTGAAGTAGCAGGTGTCTTGTAAATGAGGCCATTGAAATTTTGGTGGCATCGTAGGCGGAGCATACTATAACGCGTGGAAGCGTACGACTAGTTTGTACGTGATATGATTCATAACATTGGAAGCTTGCTCAAGGCCTTTATACCATAGCAATACTAGTTTTTTTATCAAAGTTGCACCCCTCCAATGGAAGGCAAGGTAAAAATCTCTACTTTGGGTCTATGAGTCAGGACAGCTCTGGTTTCAGATGAGTTCTTCTAATCTAGTTTGTCGGGCAAAGCGTTGGGCGTACGAAAATGAGGCGATAAAGTCTGGATTGCTTAACATCGTGGTTGCAGCTATAAAAAAGAGATGTGGACCGTCATTCTCATTCTATCGGCGAGCTGTGAGTTCGACCGGTGCATCATCACCTGTCAGCAGAGAAGGCGTGAGTTGAATGAAACTATTCACAAGATACGATTGCTGACGGTATCTCCGAATTTTCTAACTGAGCACGTCAAGGTGACGAAATTCATGAACATATTCAAGTTGCATCCAGCTTGCATCCGACAATTTTGGAAGCATGTCTTGAGAATGAGAGATTTGGTTGAAATCGCGCTTAAAGAGGAATGCGGCTACAAGCAAGCTTGAACTTTCTCCTTGCGACGACAGAATCACGCCCTTTCCAGAAGTGTACACAGCATTATCCATGAAGTAGCTGCTGGTCCAACACCAACAAACAGTGTGGCCGAGCATAGAAACGTACATTGTTTTGGACGCAGCAAGTCGGCATACATGATGCGTAAATACCTGGACTGGTGGGCGGGAATGGATAGGACAAATGTCTACTCCTGATTGGGCAGGTCGCCCTACTGGGGTGAGACCGAGGGTTACGCACACCGGGGATAGTTAATGAGTGTTTAGGTGTTTTCAAAAATTTGCGACTATTACAGGACTGGTTATGGCACAAGCAAGTGTACGGGGTACGAAGGCCCAAAGAGAATATTGAAAGACTCTCGTTCATTGAGGTACTTACGTGCCGTATGACGATCAAACAAATTCGCGACAGAATTTTCGTTGCGCTGCCAAAGGTAAAAGAGCCGGTCGGTCATAGTATGACTACTATGACTAGCGTACCTTAGATCTCAATAGACATGGCTAAAACGTTTAAATACTTTGAAAGCCCGAAGTCATTATTATTCCCAGACATGGACAGATACCACATAATTCTTTGCATGTCGTGAACGAGCCTGGATCGCTTGGATGACAGGAGCATATGCACTAATAGTCTTGCTCGCTCCGACAGCGCATTAACTTGATCTGCTGATACCACCACCAAACGTTTGCGTACTCGAATGGACCAGTAAGGCGCTAAGACGCCAGCGGTTGTCAGAAGTAGTGCATATTTGAGCGATACCAAATCTGGGGCGGTTGTAAGATGAATGTCTTCGCAAACTTTTGAGAGTTCCCATAACAAAGGAAATTGTTAAAAAAGCCGTATAAAGCACTTCAAGAGTGGGTAATGAAATGCCGTACTTCTGCGCTACTAAAATTGTTGCGGGGCCGTTTATGCAGATTAAAATGGCTCAATAGACGCTTTGTGTGCGGGTTGTTAAGCTCCATAGATGAGGGCTTGCCACGACAAGTCACACAGATTATGAATGCTATGGCGGCACATGAGACGATATCTGTTTAGATAACATAGTTCTACTGGGGGCTGAAGTGCCACGACAGGTGACAAAGACTATAATTGCTGAAGGGGGCTCACGAGCTGCTCATTGTGTCGATGACATAGTTGTACATTGATTTATGGGTATGAATGCGCCACAACAGGTCCTTAGACATAATGAGTTTGATGTGTGTACTCGATATGTGAGCGTCGAGTGGCACCGAAAATTTCGGAAGTGTTTTCCCGATATGACACAAGAGATGGCTTATAATTGGCTGCAGCAAGCGGATAATTTTGTGACTGAATACTAACCCCAGGTTAAGATGACCGGGAGCTAACGAGATCTCCGCATAGAAAAGGTCGTCAAATTTCATTGCATCTACAACAACGTGACGGATCGCTGATGATGTCCAATTGGAAGTACTAGTACTACCATATGTATCCAATAATTTAAACATTAAAGATCTCATATTCTTAGAGGTGAGATTTTGCATGTGGTGGTAATTGACTCCACTGACCGAAAAGCCCCATACTGTAATGAGGGGTACGGAACCGGTCCCAAAATGGGTTGGGTAGCTACCAGCATCCTGCGCTAAAGAAAGCTTATCCCTAGCGTGCAGGTTCCGGTAGCTTAAATTTCTCTTTCGGGCGGTATTTCCACTGGAGTTTTATTCTACTTGACTTAACGAGTGATTAAACATACCCTTTAGCTGTTCCACGCGGTTCAGAAAATTTGCATATTATGACCCTTACAACAAATCTTTTTGGAATCCCAGCTTGTGGTCACAACTGACTTGGGTAACTTCTCAAACGTGCTTTTTATACTACACAGTCATAATAGTTGACTCGAGGCACCCCGAGCGATTCAAAACTGTAACACCGAAGAACAGAATGTAGCTCGGATACAGGGTATGGATCATGCGTTACTCTTTCTATCAAGTCATTATGTGAAGCATTCTGTTAGTCATTTATAAAAAAACAAAACGCTGTGACGAACGGCCTGGAGGAGGAGAGTCGTGAATCGTCTTCGATAAGCTTAGGATCTAAAATTTACATTTTTTATTGTAGCCACGACCGACAAGTTTAAGTGTAGCATTACTGCAGCTTGGATTCACAATTTGTAGACACGGCTTGTGTAAGAATATTTGGCAGCAGTTTGCAAATGAACAGAACTGCATAGTTGTTTCGTTTGCTCTATCTTCTACACATTGCTTTCGCACATCTTGACTCTTGGTCATCGCGTTGTGTACTCGTGATTAAGGGAAGTCTCCTTAAGTACAAGCGTAGCCAGATTGATCAGAGCAACCATAATTTTATTGGAAGCATCTCCTTCATTGAGTCCGACCTTTATGTAGATGCCTTAATGGGAGACAAAGGTTCGTCAAACCATTTTCTGTCTGTGGAATTTTGTACTGCGTAAGTTAGCTCAAACCCAACGGGTGAGATCATTTCGCTTCAGCCTCGTGATCGGTCCGCGCGTATGAGTTGGAGGATGCCCATTACTACATGAAAAATCATTTCCGTAGATCCATCATGTAATCGAAAAGTAGCGGTAAAATTTTGAACCTGGTACCAAGCTTATCAAATACAACCCGTCAAACTATTTTAAAACGTGCAGAACCCTCATACAGTAGCCACTGGCAAGCCATGTTGGTCAACCCTTTGTCGTGAAGCAGCTGGTCGGTTTTGTTATCGCTGATAATAGCAAAACGAGTCTTCTTACACAGACGTATAAAAATAACGAAATATCGGCGCACTGATCGAAGACTGCTTCAAACCCCATAATAATACTCTGCATCGTTCTACCGAAAAGCTTACCGACCAAAGATGCCAACGCCTGCAGCGAGGATTTTGCCCATTCACAGTTTAATCTGTGTGCATCTATAGACTTGCCAATGTACACATAGTGTGCTTCCAGTACATAGCGTTCGCCGAACAGTATCTCATTTTTGCTTCCGCGTTGGCTCTTTAGAAAAATGTGTGAGTTCTTTACTCGCGATTCTCCTCATGAGGTTCCAACATACCCTAAACAGTAAAATCCAGCTTGAATTTTCATGTTCTGACTGTACAACACACGTCACACGTCCGTACGCTTTACCTATCGCCTCGTCAATATGCGA